CCGGTGTCGCAGCTCAATAGGCTAATCCTCCACCTAGCGGCGCCGGCACACCGGGTTCTAGTCCCAGTTGGGGCGCCGGATTCTGTCCCGGTTGCCCCCCTTCTAGGCCAGCTCTCTGCTATGGCCAGGGAAGGCAGTGGAGGATGGCCCAAGTGCTTGGGCCCTGCACCCCATGGGAGACCAGGATAAGTACCTGGCTCCTGCCTCCGGATCAGCGCGGTGCGCTGGCTGCAGCGCACCAGCCGTGGCGGCCATTGGAAGGTGAACCAGTGGCAAAAGGAAGACCTTTCTCTCTGTCTCTCTCTCTCACTATCCACTCTGCCTGTCAAAAAAAAGTGTATAGAAAATATCAATATGTTAAGGAGACTGCAATTCCCTTGGTCTTTCCAGATACCCCTGTGACACATGACTCCAATGACCGATTTCCTCATCTACCTTCCTTAAGGTAACCTGTAGTAGTATTGAGCAGAATTGCAATTGGAATAATAATGGCTCACATTTCTTAAGAAATTACAGGTTAAGCATTTTATTAGCATTATTTTATTTAAGAGAACTACTATCCCAATATTTAGATGATAGAATGGAGGATCAAAAAGACTAAAGATGTAGATATTTGGTGCAGCATTTAAGATGCCAATTGGGATGTCCACATCACATATCGGAGAGCCTGGGTTCAAGTCCCAGCTCTGCTTCCAGTTCCAGTTTCTTGCTAATAGGCACCCTGGTTCATTTATGTGGGTCCCTGCCACCCATGTGGGAGACCTGGGTTAGGTTATAGGCTCCTGGTTTCAGCATGGTCCAGCCCAAATTGTTGTATGCAACTTGGGGTTAAATCAGTGGTTGGAAGATGTCTCTTTATGTCTTTGTTTCTCTGCCTTTCAAATAAATAAAAGCAATTAATTTTAAAAAGAAAAAAAAAGATTAAGTAGCTTAATTCCAGTCACACAGTTCTTACACGAGCGGAACAAGATTCAAGAGATGGTCCAGTTGATTCCAGAGCCATGTCTCAACCTCTAGACTAGCATCTACATATTTCTTTCTTTTTTTTTAATCACAACTGACAAGCATGAAACATCTGCCACATGCCTGAAGAGTTTCCTGGAGATAGGTACAGAAAAGTTATGTGATAATCATAGCACTGCAATCAAAATGGGCATTTCAGGGCAGGCATTTGCCCTACCAGTTCAGATGCTGCTTGGGATGCCCATGTCCCATATTAGAGTGGCTGGGTTTGAGTCCCAGCTCCCTTTCCAAGTAAATGGGTTCCTACCCACCCATACGATACCTAGATTCAATTTCCCAGCTCCCAGTTTCAACCTGGCCCACCCCCGGGCATTGTGGGCATTCGAGAGGATAGGAAATCATCCTGTCTCCTGTGTGTATGTGTGTGTGTGTGTGTGTGTGTGTGTATCTGTCTCTCAAACTAAAGAAAAAATTCATGGACTTTGGAATTAGCAAACCTCAGGTTCAAAGCTCTGACACCTGCAACTATCAGTATTATGGGAGTCCAAGCTTCTCTGGGGAAACCGGGGTAATGACATCACCAGCATCACGGTTATGGTAATGATAAAGTGAAATGATATTTAAAACTTGCTTAGCTTGATGGCTATTGTGTTACAGAGACTTAGGCATGTTAACAATTATTTACATTAAGCCAAAATAGAAGAGACTACTTGGGGCTGACTCTGCAGTGTAGTAGGTTAAACCACCTGCAGTGCTGGCATTCCTTACGGGCACCAGTTCGTGTCCTGACTGCTCCTCTTCTGATCCAGCTCTCTGCTTATGGCCTGGGAAAGCAACGGAAGATGGCCAAGTGCTTGGGCCCCTGCACCTGCATAAGAAACTCAGATGAAGCTCCTGGCTCCTGGCTTCACATCAGCCCAGCTCCTGCCATTGCAGCCATTTGGGGAGTGAACCAGTGAATGGAAGACCTCTCTTTCTGTCTCTCCCTTTCTCTGTGAATCTATCTCTTAAGTAAGTAAACAAATCTTTTAAGAAAAGATACTACTCATTTCTTTTCACCTCCATTAGCAACGTGTTGACAATAAAATTAGTAAAATAGTTTCAAAACTATTGGTTGAAAAGGATTAATTGCTTTTCAGAGCTCCTAATTTTATAGCAACCCATGTTAATATCTACCATAAAAATGACATTGCAAAGACTTTTTGGTAGGTAAATCAATCAACTAATATGTAAGAGACACCTAATGTATATGCTCCTCAGCTTACAATGGGGTTATATCTCAACAGATAACAACATAAGCTGAAAATGCCATAGACTAGTGGTTAGGAAGCTACTGTATATACCTGCCTCCTCTACCAGAGGGCCTGGCTGCAGCTTCCTGCTAATGCAGATCCTGGGAGGCAGCCGTGACAGCCCCAGGGACTGAGTTCCTGCCTCCCATGCGGGAGACCTAGATTGTGTTCCCAGCTCCTAGCTTTGGTCCAGCTCAGTTTCAGCAGTTACTAGCATTTGGAGAAGGAACCAGCACATAAGAGATCTCTCTGTCTCTCTGTGTCTGTCTTTCTGTGTCACTCTGCCTCTCGAATGAATAAGTAAAACAAAATGTTGCAAGTTAAAAATTATTTTAAAACACCTAACCCACTAAGCAACACAGTCCATCTTAGAGTGCTGACTGTTTCACCTTGTGATTGCAGGGCTGACAGGGAGCCCTGGCTCCTGCCACTGCCTAGCACCACAAGAGAACGACGTACCACTAATCCCTAGACTAGGAAGACATCAACACTCAAGGGAGGGTTTCTTCTCAATGCATATCACTTTTGCACTCCCACAAAGCAGAAAGTAGGAAGCTGGATCATCAAACATAGAGGACCTTCTGTATTTGCTAAGCATTTGGAGGCACAAAAGCAAGAAAAAGAAATCAAAGACCTTGCCCTCTCAGAGTTCCCAGAGTTGTTATGTCACAACACCACCTTAGGTAGAGACAATAACAATAACAAAGGCAACCCCATGCAGGAGACCTTGCGAAACTGCCTCTGGTAAGTCCCACTTTCAGGAATAAAAATGTCATTCTTAGCTCAAAGTAAGGTCTTGTGAGTCAGAAATCTGTAAATGTTAGAGAGGAAAAAGGGAATTTAAGAAAAGGACAAATGATAGTGAAAAAGAAAACAGAGTACCTGGTTGTGCAGGGCCAAGAGAAGAGAAGAGGGTTTAACATATGGAGAGGCTGTTTGTAAGTAGCTGCAGTGGGGCATGTATGAGCACAGGGTAGAGAGGAATAAAGTAAATATTGAGGGTCTCACAATCCTTCTGTGTTTTACTATGGGCCAGCTAAAGAGTAGGAAAAGCCAAAGCCCCATCTATCATAAAGGGAAGTTATTAAAATCACTCTCCTTGGGAAATCTCAGAAGCACCGTCTCTTAGAAGAGTTTCTCGGGGGATGGCTGACCTTGAATCTGCTGCAGATTTGGAAGACATACATCAACTAGTCCAAATACAGCATCAGCTCCTGGGGTTATCTAGAAAATAATTCTAGATCTATGGCCACATTTTGTAACTAATTCCCCCTCCCCAGAAATCGAATTTATTGACCCAATGGGGGAAAGCTTGTACAACCACAGGATTTTACACTCTTCCCTAACCTATACTAGATCCCCGCACATTGGAGAGGAGAACACACACAGCTCTCATGCAGGTGTTTCTAAAAATAAGGCAGAAGAAGGTCTCGGTGCTGCTCGCCTCCTCCCAATCCCACCAGTCAGATGCTGAGCCAAGAGAGGATGGGCCTTTCTCTTCCAATAGATTAGCCCCTGTTGAAGAGTGTATTTTATAAGTTCTCTTACCTCCATGCCCATCCTCTCAATACAAGTTTTAAACCACAATCAACAACAAGTAAAAGAAACATTGTATCATCAGTATTTTTCCTAGGAATTTGTTATTGAGCTTTTGTTCATTTGTATCTATTAACTGGTATGTTTTTAACACCTTTCTGTGTTTTAAGGGTGTTGTATCTTCCTGTTCCTTTGAAGAAGCATCACAATTTCACTGAGAAAACCATGCTCAGCAGAATTTCAAGTGACTTTGTTAATGCTGCAGATTTTTTTGTTTTACTACGTTGAACATAGAGATAAAATATAATTCTTGTACTTTATAGAAAATGAAAAAGAAATGACATTTTAATACTAAAAGTATTAAAGATCAATGTATAAACTTGAACCAAATTTAAATATCCTTCCCAAAAAACTGAAAAAAAAATGAAATCAGTGGAAACAATATTAACAGTTTCAGTTTTGTTTAGATTTTGCAAGAACCTAAAAAATTTATTCATCTCAAACTCCTGAGCCTTTTTTCTTTCTTCCACCACCCAATTTAAAACTTTATTGTCTGAATCACCTCAACTAAGCACTGACATGACTGAGGTGAACAGTGTGAAGACCACTGACCAAGAGCTGCGAATAGTCCACTATGCATTTCCATTCAGGAGAAGCACGGATTTACTCAAGCGCCCCTGCTGGCTGATGCCATGCGGGTCACCGAGCCTAGCAAAGCACCATCATGGTGTAGACACAGTGACTCTTCTAGGTACAGATCTTCCAGAACAGTAGTGCTTTGTCAGTCAATGTTCTAGCCGTTCAGTAAAGTGCCAGCGTCAGCTAAGGAAGGAGGGGAATGTCACAGTGCCACTTCAGGCACAGAGACAGCATCCTGAGGGCCAGGTGGCCCAGTCATCTGGGAGGTGGAAGGGAACTTATGGTTTGGTACATGTGACTTTCAGGTCTCTGGATACAACCTGAGAAAATCCAAAATTTCAGGGCCAGGGGTGGGGGAAATACAACCAACAGATTCTACACCTGGGAAAAAGACCCTCTACCAATTGGCTTAGATCTATGGGTATCGTGAGTTAGCAAAGTCAGTGTTAGCACTGACATCTCAACAATACAATCAATCATACTGCAGTGTGACCTCCCAAGCTCTATAACCCCCCCCACACACACACGCACACACAGCAAAAGATTCCTCAGCTTCAGACTTTTTTTTTTTTTTTTTTTTTTTTTACAAATAGCTGTTTCCTACTGCTCAGGCCTAATTTTTCTCTCTCATTTACATTCATAATCACCCTAAACTGAACTTCTCCAGCCACAGCATTTCCATATCACCACTGAAGCAGAACACACATTCATCATCTCCCCAAGTTTTCTCACAACAAAAGCTCTTATTTCTCTCCTTGATCGTCAGATACCTTTTACACTGAAATCCAAAACACTATCTCCTGTATCAGTTACCTCATAACCCACTCTGACTAAAGTTGTTCAAAGCCCAGTTCTACTAAGGTCATGGAGACACTAAGACGATGGTTTACTGACCTCTCTGGCCCTTCCTGGGCACAGGTGTCTTTAGTTCTGCAATGTCTAAATTATGAGAGACCCCCCACCCACATCTATGATATTTTGTGGACTGAAGACACAGGCAGCCTGAAAGAATACAGACTCGGCATAACTGATCCTTAAAGGAAACCATAAGGATATCGAGACAAAGCCCTAAGACACACAATGATGGGACAAGTGGGCTGGACTGGAACTGACTGCTCATCTGTGGTTACAGACAGACCCACTACCCAATCTCTTCTTTTCCTCTCTCTGTAGGCTTCAGAGTTATAGCTCTTGGTGGTTCCCAGGACCTGCAGCACTGGTCTCGTACAAGAACCTTTGAAATATAAATTCTTGGGTCTTGTTCATACTTGTTGAATCTGAAACTCCATGGTGCCTGCTCAGCGGTGTGTGCCTTCAAGAGCCTTCCAGGTGGCCCTGGTGCTCACTAAAGTTGAGAAATACTGACTTAGAGCATGTTTTTCCTCAAGCTGTAGTTGGCAACACTTCTCCCCTATCCCAAACTGAGTACTGTCCACCCTGGGCAGCCCTGGGACCCACAGGTGAGAAACACTGTGTTTATATTCAGGGCACAGGGCACTGGAAGCAAGGGCATATTGCCCTTTAAATGTTTAATAATAATAAGCCATAGACTACATACCAAATCCCACTCACACTATAGCCTTTAGGATTAGGTTAGAACTATTATAAATAAATCATTTTAGAGAATCATTTACTCATAATTTAATTTTTACTTATATCCAGGTGAGCAAATGACACTTGACCTTGATTTTAGCAACTTCGCCAGTGTGACAAAAGCTGAAGACTCATTTAGGTTTCCAGATATTGTCCAAGTTTTAAGAATCGAACCAGTAAAATTTACATCCTGTCATCTCCTTCCCTGTACTTTTCCCTACCTTGTTTCTGACTGGCCTCACATCTCAATGAGCAGCCTGTCTGGAATCCAGAACACACCTCTGAACACTGAGGGTGCTCTTTGAGACTCAGTGCAGAAAGGCCAGCTGGATGAGGGATGAGAACCGAGAAAGAAGGGAGAGAGTTCAGTTCAGGAAAGCAGGGAAGCAGAAGACGAAATTCAAAGACAAACAAGAGCTTTCAGGAGGCAATCATGGGTCCAGACTTGGATGGCCCTCAAGTTGGGTTCTAAACTAACATCATCAGTAAATGGAGCCCAACAGCCTACCTACTTAAAATCCATTCCACTGCAACTTTTCCCTTGTCCAAAGAAGCACAAACTGGTTGAAACTGCTGTAAGCTGAATGAGTTTCTTTCTTCCCATTTCTCATCTTCAAGGGAACTCCCATATACTTTTGTTTCAATTTCCGAGAATCTTCCTGGCCATTTCTGACAGGCCATGTTATTCTACTGGGTCCAGTCCAAATTTAATATGACTGAGAGAGGGTTGGTCCAAGAGCGAGGGTTTGGATAGGTCTGGAGAACTGGATGTTTAATTTGATGTGTTGCTCTGGTTGGCATCTGAAGTGACTATTTTTTTCTCTGATAAAAAAACAGAATTTTATTGCCTTTGAGATGTTGTTCTCAAATGGTTGGCTGCACATTGGGTGGCTAACAGTAGGGGTTAAGGAACGTTTATTCACCTGTGACAAAAACAAATACAATAAAAATTGCAATTTCCAATGTCACTCACTAAGAACATAAAATCCTAATAAAAAATTTTAAAATGAACATTGCATCAAATCTCTTTTTGTTTCTTCTTCCTTTCCCAATCACTGAAATAAAATAAAAAGCATGTTTGTCTTTGACTCCTTATAGTCCTGAAATGACCTAATATCAACCCACTTCATTCCCACCCACTTCTTGCATAAATATTGAGAGGAGATTCTGTAACCTTCAGCCCACTTAGAATATTCATTTCTGGTCTCCAGCTCTACAGTACTGCATCAGGAATCCCAAATAAATGTGTTGAATATAAGAGATCAACAATAGATAAAAAACACTAGAATGGTACCCAGCAGATACAAAGTCAAAAGCTCCTGAAGTTCATTTCCTCTTTTCCTTAACAAGAAAATGTTTTCCCAAGACAAAAGTTATTATTTGGTTGGATGACATTGGCAAGCAATATATTCATGGAGGGATGTTTTGTATATTGTGTTCTTAGAGTTTAATCAATTTTTCATTTCTATTTCATGGCAACCAAATAAAATCAAAAGGTTATTTTGTTGTTCTTTAAGATCTTAATGAAATTAACTTATTCTTCAAATATTTATTAATTGTCTGCAACAGTGTCTGGTACATGGTGTGTTCATTGATGCATGGAATATTTGATGAGAACTTACTATATGCTGATTCAGTACTATGTTTCCTGGGTAAAATGGTTCATAAACAGAGATGGAGAATTTTCCTCACAGGGTCCTGACTACATTAAATAATTTTCATAGCAAGAAACTGGCCTCTTCCTCTCTCTATCCCTTCCATCCTCACCACTCCTGATGAGACAAGTAATCTGAAAGCTTGAGTAGTGTGCCTATAAATCCATCTCTAAGGCTCTCCTCAACTCTATGTCCTCCCCATGCCCATTGCAGGAAAAGGCATCATTTGAAACTTGAACCATCTGCTGCCATAGCAGAGCACATGAATCAAACCCGGCTGGCCCACAGCAAAGTCTGGACTTGCCGGTCCATCCTTCACAGTAACCCTGGTCACTGTTGTTACATTCGTTTGCAAAGAGGAAGACTGTCACCAAAAGCTAGTTATCCAAAAGCCAGCACCCCTCAAGGATGGCCTCACCTGGGAATCTTCCCTGTCACTGAGCCACCAACACTGTCTCAGATGCAGATGCTAGATACCCTGAGGCCCCGGTCTCCCAGCCTCCCTCCCTTACTCGAAGTGTCCTTGCCCTGAATTTTGATGGCACTAAAATTACTCCCTAAACTGAGGGAGAGGCACAGCCAGCTTTACAAGCTTCTAATCACTGAAGCCATGAGGTCATTTGCTTTTTCCAATAGACAACACCTTGATGCCTGGTATTGCCTTGAGAGGTTTTCTTTAGGGGAATTCCAGGCCCAGAACAGAAAGAACTGAAGTGCAATTGGCCATCATTAAAATTCCCTGGAGAGTATGGCATTGCTGGTCAACTAGGAACTTGGACACAAACTGAACATGTAATTGGACCAAAGAACCACTGTGACTCCAACCAGCCCCTTATCACCTGGCTAGAGGCCAACATGCAGCTGTCTGTATCCTTTGTTCCCCTCATTATTTTTTTTAAGATTTATTTATTTATTTGAAAGTCAGAGTTACACAGAGAGGGAAGGAGAGGCAGAGAGAGAGGTCTTCCATCTGCTGGTTCACTTTCTAATTGGCCACAACAACCATAGCTACACTGATCCGAAGCCAGAAGCAAGGAGCCAGGAGCTCCTTCTGGGTCTCCCACATGGGTGCAGGGGCCCAAGCACTTGAGCCGTCTTCCACTGCCCTCCCAGGCCATAGCAGAGAGCTGGATCAGAAGTGGAGCAGCCGGGACTAGAACTGGTGTCCATATGGGATGCCAGCACTGCAGGTGGCGGCCTTACCCGCCATGCCACAGCACCGGTCCCCCTCCTCATTCTTGAATTCCCCTCCTTGTAGTACCCTCAGCCATTAGGGCAGTAGTTCTGCAGATGTGAGTCTGCTTCCTCCTCATTTATTGATAGATTAAACTTTCTCTTTCCTTATCCTCAAACCTTGTCAATGTTATTTTGATTTGGCATAGTTGATAAGGAACGATCTTTTGATAAAAAACCCCCTTTCCTAAGCACAAACTCCTTTAGTTTTGTTTTTTTTTTTTGTTTTTTTTTTTGTTTGTTTGTTTTTTTTAGCAGACAGAGTGGATAGTGAGAGAGAGAGAGAGAGAGAGAAAGGTCTTCCTTTTGCCGTTGGTTCACCCTCCAATGGCCGCCGCGGCCGGCGCACCACGCTGATCCGAAGGCAGGAGCCAGGTACTTTATGGGGTGCAGGGCCCAAGCACTTGGGCCATCCTCCACTGTACTCCCGGGCCACAGCAGAGAGCTGTCCTGGAAGAGGGGCAACCAGGACAGAATCCGGCGCCCCAACCGGGACTAGAACCTGGTGTGCTGGCGCCGCAAGGCGGAGGATTAGCCTAGTGAGCCACGGCGCCGGCCCACAAACTCCTTTAGTTTTTATACCTTTCAAGTGCTTTGAAACACTCTCGAAATACCACTTACCACAGTTTTCCAAATCGTTTGCATGCTTACCTGCTTCTTTAGAGCAGGTACTCTGCTTCTTCATTTTTTTTTTAAATTAACTTTTATTTACTAATTTTGAAAGGCAGAGAGATACACACACACACACACACACACACATGTTGAGGGTGGAGAATGGAAATCTGCCATGTACCATTTCCCAAATCCCACAACGGTTGGGACTGGGCCAGGCTGCAACCAGAAGATAGGACCTCAATCCGCATGGGAGCACATGGGTGACAGACTCAACTACTGGAGCCATCCCCTGAGGAATTCAGGGTGTGAGTTAACAGGAAGTTGGCATCAGGAGCAGATCCAGGACTCAAATCCAGAGCCTCCCATATGGAATGTGGACATCCCAATCAAGTATCTTAACTACTGCTACAAACACCCCCTCCTTTTTCCCCATTCAGAAACTTCTTCATCTCTGGAACCTTAGCACCTCATGTAATAGTGGTTTAGCATCATAATGGTTTTCAGGTGCATTTTCTTTGTTCCTAATGAGTCAATAAAAAAGTATCAGTTAGCCAGAGCTACCAAACTACATAAGCACCAGAAATGTCTATTCTACCTGCTGTCTACCCACTTCACAGTCCTAAAAGGTCCTTACAGAGCTCATAACTACATGCAGAACATAGAAAACATTTTTCTATTAGAGTAAAGCAATATAATTTTAGAACAGGTCTGACTCTGAAGATCTAGTCCAAATCCCCTCATTTCACAGATGATGAATCTGAAGTCCCAAGAAGTTAAGTCAAGGTTATACAGCAAGTACAAGGCAGAAAAGGGATGTACTTCAAGTCTCCTTTCCCACTGCTTGATTTGCCGGGCACCAGTCTGGAGTCAGCTTGTCCAGGTTCTGTCTCTTCACAGGTTTGTGAAGGAGCTTACGGAAGGCACTGGCAGTTGAGCTGGACTCAGAAAGAGGGAGACAATATCTACCAGCTGCTGTTTTTTTCTTCCCTCTCCCCAGAGGTGTTAACCCTGGCCACAAAGCTGTCTTAGCACAAGGAACTAAGAGAAGCTAAAATGATGGAGAGCTACATAATTTGTAGCTTATGAGATATAATGGGGCCCTATAGAACAGTTTCAGATTCATCTACATTGTAAATCTGGGCTGCCTTGGGTCAATTCTTCTGCAGTGACTGAGCTACAGAGTGGAAGCTTCGGACTACCATGGTTTGAACATATGTCCCCAGAAGGACCTACAATGTGAGTAGCCCATTACTTTAGGGGGTAGCAATAAGAGGAAGGCAACACTTCATAATGGTTTTGCCAGCCAAGTGCTTCACTATTAACTCACCAAATATGCTGTAATGACATATTAACTTCCATGCAAGGGACTGAGTACTATACTAAAAAGATGAATGATCCAAAATCCCTACAGTCACGGTGCTCAGTGTGTGCAATACCCCGCCAAGAAATCTTCAGACAGCCTGGTATATTCATACACGCCACCCCCCACCAAACACACACACACACACACACACACACACACACAAAGTGTATTAAAAACACACCAGCACCTCTGTCACTCGGTGCCACCACCGTACTACAAAGAGCCCCAAATTTCCAGGATCATGACCAGCATCATTTAGGCAATTTTATTTCTTGTCTTATACCCTCAAAACAAAAAAACACCTGTGTCTAAATACTGTGAAGGTTTGTGGATTGTGCCACAGCAAAGATCAAGATCAACTCAGCTTCACAGCAGGGGAGAATATGAGCAGCTAAATCACTCAGAGGGGGATGGCGCTGTGGCATAGTGGGTAAAGCCACTGCCTGCAGTGCCAGTATCCCATATGGGTGCAGGTTCAAGTCTCCACTGCTCCTCTTCCCATCCAGCTCTCTGCTATGGCTTGGGAAAGTAGTAGAAGATGGCCCAAGTGCTTGGGCCCCTGCACTACATGGGAGACCTGGAAGAAGCTCCTGGCTCCTGGTCTCTCTCTGTCTCTCTCTCTCTCTCTCTACCTCTCTGTAACTCTGCCTTTCAAATAAGTAAATAAATCTTTAAAAATGCAAACATTTTAAAAAATCACTCGGATAAGAGAAAAGACAAATTAGCTCCCTAATCAAAGATTCCCCTCACAGATGGAATAACTATAATAGATTTTCACATAACCAAGAGTTTGTGTTTCTCTTCAGGCACTAATTTGTGACTCTGGAGGCATTTGCAAATTAGTGCTGTATTCACAACAGTCACAGACAGGGATTGAAGAATATTTCACCATGTCTTATCTGAAATTTATCTTTATGTGTCTCTAGGTATAGTATGTGTAGAGAATACTAAATATTCTTTACATTGGCAATGAGGTGAATTTTCAGTGTTAGAACTATAGTTTATACTTACAAAATATCAAAATTTCAAAATAAATCTTAAATGTCTGTTTAAAAAT